GCAGGACAGAAGTGAGGATGAAGAAGGGTTGGCCTATGGGGTCTCTTTCCTGCATTATCTTTCCTGGAGGAATTAGCCATTAGGACATGTTCATGACTTCTATCTTGTCCCCCTCAGAGATCAGCTCACTTGAGATCAAGTATGAAATATGATCCAAGCCAGGGTAGGAATGCTTGATAATCACCAGGATGACTCTGGGAAGCTCGGGAGAAAGGGCCTTTTATTTTAGATTATCTCTGCTGCAAAATCTTGTCCCATGAATAAATCTGGGCAGAGACCCTGAAAGAAACAAAATGGTCAGACACTTCCCCAAATTCCCAACTTCAGGCTTGCAAACCAGTTCTTATGTTGAGATCATGGTGCTTTCCATCACGAATCTGTACAGCTTTATCCATACATGCAATTCAGGCTCTGTCTGCATGCACTGTGGGTCCTCCTTCCTTGCCTCAGCAGCACATTCAGAAATCTTCTCAACATACATTTGTGGATACACACACACACACACACACACACACACACACACACACTTGCACACTCCACACCACACAGCCTTGGCAACATGGCGGACAGAACTGCTCTACTGTGAGAACAATGAATGAATGAAGACTCAAGGCCAAGCTGATGTATAAGATTGTTAATCAGACACCCAAACAGGCAGCTGTGGAAATGACACCAGGGGCACACTTGTCCCCTCTTCTTTTCTCTCCTGTCAATTCACCATCAGTTCTAATATCCTTCAAGCTTTGGGGTCCTTGCTTGCCTGTCACTTTTCTCTCCATCCTTAGGTATCTTTTTTTTTTTTTCTAGGGTTCAGTTGGGTCTAGGAATGTGAAATTTGGAAAAGGTCAAATTGCTTTTGAAAATTGTTTTTTTTTTTCTCCAGTTTTGGTGGAAGTAGGGAGCTTCAAAAAGTGCCCTCTGCCCCAAGAGCCCTTTTCCATGGCTGGCCATTTCCAGTATTTCTCTGAACTACTCCTGCCCTGACAAGAGAAACAGTTTTATTTGAATTCTAATAATGTGCTATTTTAAAATTTTCCTTTATTGGGCAGAAAACTCAGTCTGGCACATTTTCTCTCTTTTTTTATGCATCCCTTACACTTAGTGCAGAACTAAGCCCAACTTGGTAAGTAGTGGATAGATGGATATATAGAGCAACACAAGATTGTTAGTTTATAAAGCACTTCTATTTGCTAGTTGACTCTTGACCTTAAATCCTGACCCAAGGGTCTGAAATGAACCCCCTGGTTTTATCAAGAGGTCTGACACTGGCCAGAGAACTCTTTTCCAGATAAAGTCTTTGGCTCTCACGGTAATGATGATAGGTAGATGGAGCCATAAGCTTCACCATGCAGTAACTGAAATAACCCAAAACAGGCAACTAGATGCAAGAATGGCCCCAATAGTGATGAAAAATAAAGTCAATGGAACACCCAATTAACACAGGAGCTGCACACTGAGCCATTATCTATTGCTCTCTGGCAGACAGGGTTCAGCTTTGCCCACTGAGCAATGCATTTTTCAAGGGCAAGGGTGGAGGTCAAGGTTGGCTCCCAGGGATTTCTGTAGTCTTGGAATTAAATTTTACTTCCCAAATTAGAGTCTAGTTAGTTGTCACCAAAGAGGAGGGGCTCTATAGACTTCAGGGGTCTCCAGTGACTATGGCATTGTGATTTCAGTCTGCACGAAGGGAAACTAGCACATGCTATGTGCATTCTACATGCCAAACATTGTACAGGGATCTCAAATACATTATTTTGCTTACCTTTCACAACAACTCCTGAATGGGGATTATTTTAGAAAAAACTGAAACACTATGAAGTAAGCAGTCACTAAGTGTCATGCAGTTGGCTGTCAAACACCCAAACCTGACACTTTTGACACCAGTGAGCGAATTATGAATGGAGATGAATGGAATGGGCTTAATAGACAGAAGAGTGGAAAACCCAGGATGGATTAGGATGGGCTCATAATGCACTTCCCATTTTCCCTTCCCTCTTCCTCAGAAGGATCTGATAAGTTCCTCCCAAACTGCCATGGGACAGCCCAGAAGTCAGATCCTCTCCAGGTATTTGTAATTTGAAGGAAAGTGAGTGGTTTGAAAGGGAAGCATCTCTAGGTGTGGAATGCTGCCCACTTATCTGAGGGTAGGGAATGGTAGCATGCTGGGTAGAGGGTGCAGGGGGCTTGTGAAGCTGCCCTGAGTTTGCAGCCTATGCCTAAGGCTGTTGGCACCTATTTCCTGCCTCTGACAGGCCCATTCCCTCTGCCCTTTTCTGTCTAGCTCCTCTGCTTTCTTTTCAGGACTCTGAGTTGCTAGGCAACTCCAGTCTGGGGCTGAGGTTCTCGCTGTGGTGAGCAGCTTCCACATAGGGACGGGGAGTCTGATGGAGCCTGTGATTACAGGTGTCTGAGCAGAAAGGAAGACGACAGCCACCTCCCCAACTCCTCCTTGCCTCCCCCAGACAGAGGAAATGCGAGGTCTGAGCAAGGAAAGCAGAGCTTTGCTTAGACCATGTGCTATGTCCCCTTCCCAATCTATAGCTCCCTCCCCTACCTGTGGGTCTTCTTTCCATGCAGACCCCGGGATCCCCCTTGTGCTCTGGTCTCCTGCTGCCTCACTCAGACCCAGGGGATCTGGACCAGCCAGTCCCTTAACAAACCTGCAGCAGCCCCAGCTCTTCCTCCCTTGGGTGGGGCATCACACTTTCATGAGCAGATCTCCATGGCTTGACTTCAGCAAAGCATCTGTAGGCCCTAGTAGGGGGAGGAGGAGTCCCCTGTGTATTTGAAACATGGGAGGGTGAGAGCAATACTGGGCCAGTTTTCCTTATGCTCAGGGAACCCAGGGAAGGGATCTCTGTTTATACTCGGTCAGAACTTATCCTGGGACCCAAAAAAGCAGCACAAATACTGAGTAGAGGTGAAGCCCAGGGGAGAGCCTCAGGAGCATTCTGGGCTCCGGCCATGTAGATGGGTTAACTGAGCCCCTAAGTTGTGCCAGGGACCACTGGATTTGCTGCTGGAAATCAACAAGTAAGAACATATTCAGGGTCTCTGATCTCACAGGGCTAACAGTTATATTGGAAGAGACAATCAACAAATAATAAACAAACTAATGATGTGACTTTGGTTGGTGTTTTTGACAGTTTCCTTCTGGAGGAAATGTGCTACTCAGTCCTGGAATGCCCTGGGTTTTCTTCCAGGAATTTTTATCCTTGTGTGGGGCTCAAGACCCTGGAGCACCAGGAGCCCATCATTATGGCATCTGTCATAGCCAGGGGGTCCCTCAGCAGAGATGCTCCCCAATTGGGGTCTGGCTTCTGAGGACCTTCATCAATGCAGCCATAGCATGGGGGTAGGGTGGGCCGATAGTGTTGCCCACCTGACGCATCCAGCTGATTGACAGTTTCAGCTGTCAGTCCAGTGGTGCTTTGGAAAGCAGTGTAGCCTAGATCTGACCAATCAGAGCTCAGTGATTAGTTAGGAGGCACACAGGGTCTCAGTTTAGCTACTCAGAGTTCATACCTCTATTGCTGGTGACAAGCTGCTGGCCTGTGAGTCCGAAGCTGTCCTGGACAATGTTTGCTGTTTTTAAGGAGAATGTAACTGACTGAAGGAAGTCAGAGCAAGGCAGAGAAGAGAGCCTGCTGGGTCTGGGGCTAGAGCACCTTTTAACATTTGGGTTTCAAAAGCCAATACAGTCATTTTATTAAAAAAAATATTTATTTATTTATTTATTTTGAATACTTAAGTCAGTCTTATGGTTCAAATGTGACCCCTAAAGTTCATCTGTAGGAAACTTAACCCCAGTGCAACAGTGTTCAGAGGTGGGATCTTCAAGAGGTGGTAAGGATTAATGTTGGTGTTGTGGGAGTGAGTTAGTTATCCCAGGCAGGGGTTAGTTATTGAGGCAATGGATTCCTGATAGAAGGATAAGTTTGACCCTCTTCTCTGCTCCG